TGCTACTTTCTAGGAACAACTTGTTACTCTCCTGCCACCTACAAATCTCTGTCTGCAGCCACCACCTCTCTTCCATCAAGCTCCATTTGTATAAACCCTGTCTCAGGAAATGGCCCCACCACCCACTCAGTTGCCAAATCAGAAACATGGGGTGCACTCTTGACTTATCCCTCTCCCCACCACACACACAGCAAAACCATTCCCAAGATCAGTCAACTCTACCTCCTAAGAACCTCACAAAACTATTTTCTTCTATTTGGTGCTACTTTAATTTTGGTTTCTATTCTTTCTCTGGGGTTGCTGCAAACTAGTCTCCACACTGCAATGAGAGTGATCTAAGGCACAAATCTCTTGTCTTAGGCTTAAGGTTCTTCACTGTTTCTCTGGGTAAAGCCTACATCTTTTACATGGCTGACAAGGCCCAGAAAGAGCTGGCCTAAGTACTCCTCTAGCTTCACCTTTCCCCACTTTTCCCTTGTACCCACTGCCCCAGCCATACTGAACAAGTTAGTCTGTCAAAGATGTCCTGTGCTTGTTCCTTGACCTTTGCTTTGCTGTCCTCTGGAATGCTCTTCCCCTCCCAGTTCCTGGCTAACTCCTGCTCAGTCTTCAAACCTCAGCTTAGACCTCTGTTCCTCTAGGTTTCCTCTGACTCGCTAAGACTGGCTTAGCTGCCCGTTAGGTGTTCCCATAGCAATTCTTTACCACATATTACTGACTTTCTTCAGTCATATATAACTTGCTATACAAACACAATTTCCAGCCATGTCCTCTATTCTTTCCTGATAAGCATCCCAAGGCCCCTTCCACATGGAGCGAGTGCTATCCCATAGGACCCTGTACCATCCTTCTCACAGCACTTAACCACACTTTTGTGGTTGCCTATTTGTTTCCATTTTCCAATAAATTGTGAGCTCCACAAAGGATCATCTCTATATCATTTACGACTTAGCAGCATCTGGCAGATAGCAATTACTTGACAAAGATTCAGTGGGTGAATGAACCCTTGGGGTGATAACTCTTATTCGAGTTACTTAGTTATTACAGTTCAATGGACACATGTAAAGTAATTCCTTTCTAATTTATGTAGTGCTATAAAATTGATATTATTATTAGTGTTTGGCTGTTCCATTCCTTGAGGTCTATGCCTAATTCAATTTCTTTGTCCCAGAACTTAGCATGTTTGGCACATACTGTTTTCAACCAATTTTTGTTGGGTGTATCGATGATTATAAGAAACAGAGGTCCAGATAATTGAACTACCCCGGACCACACACAGCTATTTTGTCCCAGAAGCAGGACTAGAACTCAGACTGGAAAGAAAAGCTTAGAAGGAATTTGTTCAATGCCTAAATGGAATTCCAGCATAAATAAGATGTACTGGTTTCTCTCCATCAAAAGACTGGCCAGAAGCTGTGGGAACTACCAGAGCCCCAGACCGCCCTGGTCAAGTATCCCCATAGTGAATGTGACCCAAGCAAGAAATGTGTGAGGACAGGGGCCCTGGGTATTTCAGCAGGGAGTGGAACTAGATGCCTGGTTTGCCTTGTCCCTTTTAGTCAACTTCAACCTTTCTCAGGCACTAGTGCTGGGATATTATTTATCCTGCTCCCCCCAGATGTTTGTTGCTAAG